GATCATTCTTGCCCTGATTAGGATTAAGGCCGAGCAGTGTAATGTCCTCTAATTCTAACTCTTGTCCATGGTTTTTCTATTGTTCTGTTTGGTAGAGATAAGCGACATTGAATTTGAGAGTGTGAGAGGGGGGATTTGGGGGAAGATGGAGAAAATGGGAGAAAGCGAGAGGCTGAGAAAAAGGATAAGAGTAGAATACAATGAAAATAAAAGAAGAGTGAAGAAAAATGGTGAGGTGTGTTAAGAGGATCTAAGATATCAGAATGAATGTGATGGACATGCAGAGAAAGAATCCGTCCAGTCTTGACACCCTAAGGGCGCCTCCTTTGTCTCTCTCTAAATCCCACTTAAAGGACCAGTTTGTCCAGTTTGAGTGATTTATGGCTGTTATGTTAACCATAGATTTTTCTGAGGAAAATGTGAATGGTTATTATTCTAAGCTTCCATGCTTCCATGATGCTCGGATGTTGCCATGTGATTCGGGTTTCTGAGTATCTTGTAGCATGTTGGTTTTTCTATTGTTCTGTTTGGTAGAGATAAGCGACATTGAATTTGAGAGTGTGAGAGGGGGATTTGGGGGAAGATGGAGAAAATGGGAGAAAGCGAGAGGCTGAGAAAAAGGATAAGAGTAGAATACAATTAAAATAAAAGAAGAGTGAAGAAAAATGGTGAGGTGTGTTAAGAGGATCTAAGATATCAGAATGAATGTGATGGACATGCAGAGAAAGAATCCGTCCAGTCTTGACACCCTAAGGGCGCCTCCTTTGTCTCTCTCTAAATCCCACTTAAAGGACCAGTTTGTCCAGTTTGAGTGATTTATGGCTGTTATGTTAACCATAGATTTTTCTGAGGAAAATGTGAATGGTTATTATTCTAAGCTTCCATGCTTCCATGATGCTCGGATGTTGCCATGTGATTCGGGTTTCTGAGTATCTTGTAGCATGTTGGTAGGGTATTTTGGGTGGTTGCCACAGTAGTTACTGGCTCAGTAAGTAGAGCCCAGACCTAAATCTCTATAAATTTCTGTTCCCAAACAGATTTGATTTTGCTGCTGATATCAGACCACTGAAGGTGATTGTTTATGACATTTGAGATTTGGAAAAAATTGCTTTTTGCGGTCTGATTAATATAGGCCATATCAATGTCACTATAATCACTGTTGCAAAATGCACAGTTTTTGATGGAAAAACCGAATGTCTGTTACCTGTGCAACTTGAACGGGTTATTATAGCCCTTTTAAACCCAACAGTCTAAATTGTCACAGGAGCGTGGAGAGCGTGTGATAGGCAGGACCTTCAAAATAGACCTTTCACTCCTTCATTTATGTGGATTTATTCCATTCGCAAGGGATTCTTTCATAAATTGGAATTAGCAGCATTGAGGCAGTGATCTGAATATGATGACATGAATTATTGATTCCCTGACAGCTGCTTGCAAATCTAGCCTGACATTTGGAAATAAGACGGCATGGAATTATAGCCCGAAAATAATGAAGGCCATTTGTGTCAAGACGAGAGAAGGAGAGAAAAGCAAACGTCTTTTTGGACTTATTAATATTCATTAATGCCTCCTGTCAGAGCGCCATTGAAACAATTCATTGCTCACGTTTACGGTGTTACGTTCTTTATTATTTATTGATGTGTGTTCGAAAGATCTGGGTGGTTATGAAGAGACTGCTCAATGAAATCTGATTGCTCATACAAAACCAGATCATTGTCAGTGAGAGTCAATGACTTCAGATTTTATTTCCAGTATTGTTTTTCCTCGTCTTGCAATCCTTCTTTTCTTAAATTATCTAAAAAACTGCACTTACTAAGTAGTCTTTTTGTATTAAACTCATTCTGCACGTATATTTTAATCTTTCTTATGGAAATTCAGCATGGTCGCATTACCTGTGTTTTCTCTTGAATTAATTGCTTCTGTTTCTATTATTCTCATTTGTGAGTCACTTTGGATAAAAGTGCCCGTTAAATGAACAAATTTAAATGATTGGTTCTCAATTAGACTATAAATGATGCATAATTTTAGATGATAAAATGAGGCATAAAATTAGGCAGAGAGTGTCCTAAAAATTGCTAACTTGTATATGCTATGCCTCCTACATCCCAAAGGGTAATTCTGAAAGCTTGATCCACATTCCCTGTAGATATTTGGCATTTACCTTTATGTTGGATTCTCTGCAACCTGGACCCCTGGCGTGACTTTTTGCTCGATCTGCATTATAGTTCCTTGTGGCACTATAGAGCCAATCATCTCACTGGTTTCTGTGAAGCAACCCCTGCTGATGCCACATTAGATAAATTGATCCGTATGTAGCCAGCTGGTCTGTAAAGCTTGATCCACATTCCCTGTAGATATTTGGCATTTACCTTTATGTTGGATTCTCTGCAACCTCGACCCCTGGCGTGACTTTTTGCTCGATCTGCATTATAGTTCCTTGTGGCACTATAGAGCCAATCATCTCACTGGTTTCTGTGAAGCAACCCCTGCTGATGCCACATTAGATAAATTGATCCGTATGTAGCCAGCTGGTCTGTTGTGGAATTAGAAAAAAAACAGCGTCCCTGGGAATTTCTGTGTAATGTCAGTAGATATGGGTTGTAATCTCATTCCCTTCAGTGTGTTTGGCTTTAGCTGCCTTCAGTTGGCTGTCTGTTTTGCCACAGTTCTCCCGGCAGTGGTAAAGTCAAAGTGCATTGCAGTTTAAAGTCAGGTTGTAAAGACACCAGCGAAAACAAACAGTGGCGTACAAGCACAGGTCCACAAAGTTTGCAGTAATTTTGGTTAGTGCTGTTTGCAGGAATTAATCTGACAAGCCATGAGATTGGTGAGCTTTGCTTTCACATTTCATACATTATAACACTGAGATGTGCTTGTGTATTGGTTTGTATCTGCGTATGTCTTCTGAATGCATATATTTGGATGCCATATCACTTATTTTGGTGTTTTTTCCCAATTTCTGTCTCATTTCCCTTGCCTCACTGGAAAAGTTCACGGTATGTCTGTGCTTACTACTTGTAGGACTTGTAGGGCGGAATCCAGTCATAAAAATTGAATTTACTGTATAACATGGAACGTCATGGAATTTGCCAAATTTTGGATGGATACATCAAAAGTATGTCTGTACAGGTAAATCAAAATGCGATATAGACTAGTGTCTGTGAATATTACGCAAAAATAAAAATTTACTACACACATACAGAAGTGCTTGTGATGCTTGCAGTGTTTTACAGCCCCTGCTGCCTCAATATATGAGTACATGAACATAATCTCTAGAACTGTTCTGAGAGTCACTTCATGAGCATTTTGCCATTTCTTTTGAGCAAAACTATAGTCATGTCATATACAATTAGAAACCTAAAAGTCTTCACAGCAACCCGTCAATATGAAAGTTCGGTTTAACTTGAAGAAACCATGACAGAAATATTACTTAATGTAATGATAGTACTACTAATTATATATATATATATATATACACAAATATAATAATTATAAATATATATAATTATAATATAAAAAATATTTACCAGAATGTATTTAGCAGAAAAATGTAAATACACAACACAGTATTTCTGGAAAAAAATAGAATTTTTTAAATAAAATCAATTAATTAGAGATGCTTTTGATTATTAATATTTGGCAAAAACTATCTGGTAAAAATAAAACTGAATTTGAGGGAAAAAAAACAAAACATTTTATTGTCACGACACGGTGTGTGGAGGCAGGCAGGACGACGAGGACGACAAGGATTCCAATAATGACTTTTAATGTAGACACAACAAGGCAGATTCAGGCAGGTGAGACACACACACTCGGGGTAACATTCACAATAACCGACAACCAAAGCACAGACTAACAGGAACTAATATAGGGTGGATAATTAGTGGCAGACAGGTGAGCACAATGAGGGTAATTAACTAATGATAGGTACGGGCTAAACCAACAAAAGGGGAAGAAACCACAATAAACAGTCCACAGGGGCGTTACATTTATAGGGCCTTAAATTTATTTATTTTTTGTTCAACTTTTAATAAATTGCTGTTTAATATTGTAAGTTTCATGATTTCAATTAATTAGACGTGCTTTTTGATGAATAAAATTTTATTTAACCATTAAAACAGAGGCTAGAAAAAATAAAACGAAAAAAAGAATCAGAAAAAAAAAAAAGAATTTGGAAGAAAAAAAAAAAACGGAATTTGGGAAAAAATAAACCAGATTTCATAGGGCCCTATATTTGGGTCATTTTTTTGTGTGTGCATCTGTGTATCCATGTGCATATTCATTGTACCTGTATGTTTTCCAGATAATTTTTATGACCCTATCAGTGCATTGGGGCAATAATGAAGTGATTTGTTCCTCTTTTGTAAGTTATTTTGGATAAAAATGTCTGCTAAATGCATAAATGTGAACATAAATGATTGTAAATAATGATCAGAAAATTAGGGGATGGACAAATGGATGGTTTGTTCTTTTGCTTTTGGTTTTGCCTTTTTTCAGTTTGGTCCAACTTATTCTACGTGTTGTCATTCTTAGTGAGACGATTGAGTCTACCATTAAGATGTGGGACTTCCTTTTCTTTCCTACAGCCCTTATATTGAACATTGCGATTCATTGTTGCACAAGCGCTCTGTCCCCTTTTACAGTCGCTGTTCACACTCACAGCAGTTACTTTACGAGTGTGAGCTTCCATCACTTATTGCTTGTACAGGCAACAAATAGCCCCTTAATCATATGTAATATGAACCTCATTAGTTTCAAAGGATTTTGTTCCTGGAGGCACAGTGGCATGTGGGTTTTTTCCTCTTCAAGTAGCATATTATACTCCCAAGTGGATCTTTTATGTCACCTAATAAGGTCTAAAGCCATGTACTCTTTTCTAGTCTCAGGTTGTAAGTATTGCCATTTTTCAGGGTTGTATTTAATTCTGCCGCTAGAAGCTACAGGTTTGTTGTCTCAGAGTCTGTAATGGATTCTTCGCTGTGTGTTCTGTCTTTTGCCAGCCTGTCCCCCGGGCACCTACAAGATGTCGTCACGGCAGCAAGAGTGTTTCCCGTGTCCGGCTAACAGCAAGGCTGAAGAAGAGGGCTCTGTGCTGTGTGTGTGCGAGGACGACCACTTCAGAACTCCACTGGACCCTCCATCCGCACCCTGCACGCGTAAGACAGTCAGGTTCTGTGTGGGGTGAATGTTTATGTGTGCATTTGCGTGTGTACTTATTTGTGCACAGGGATTTATTTATTAATGTGTGTTCTAATGTTTGTACAATCCAATCCTGTTGATTCCTGGTTTTATTTAGTTTACAGTGGGGTTTAGCACTGCTTGTCGTGTGTACAGTTAGGTGATATATGGTAACAATTTAGTTTAGAGACCAATTCTCACTATTAACTATTAGCATGCTTATTACTAGCATATTGGCTGTTTATTAGTATTTATAAAGCACATATTAACCTTATTCTGCATGACCATATTTTAAATCCCTTAAAGGATTAGTTCACCCAAAAATGAACTACTCACCCTCATGTCGTTCCAAACCCGTAAGACTTTCGTTCATCTACGGAAAACAAACTAAGATATTTTTGATGAAATCGGAGAGCTCTCTGACCTTCCATAGACAACAATGCAACTGCAATGTTCCCAGGTCCAGAAACGTAGTAAGGACATTGGTAAAACAGTCCATGTGACATCAGTGGTTCAACTATAATTTTATGAATCTGTGAGAATACTTTTTGTACGCAAAGAAAACAATAATAACATAATTTATTCAACAGTTCTTCTCCCTGAGTTACCTTCTTCCGCCATTTTGGAGAGTACCCCAGAACGTAATCAACGTAATCAGCATTGTTTACGTTCAGCATGCGCGCTGAACGTAAACAATGCTGATTATATTGATTTAGATCCGGTGTACTCTTGAAAATGGCGATAACGAAGACGGTAACGAACGTCTTACGGGTTTGGAACGACATGAGGGTGAGTAATTAATGAGAGAATTTTCATTTTTGGGTGAACTAACCCTTTAATTATACTACATACCTAAACTTAACAACTACCTTACTAACTATTAATAAGCAATAAATTAGGAGGTTGTGGCAAAAG